CTATATTTGTCAATATGCTAATTCTGATCTCGTAATAGTGCATTGCATGAATGCATAGTTGATGCAAGTTATTATATGCATGTTCTGATTATTGATTGAATTGCGATCTTTGTTCACAAAGTCCATTTCAAGATTTTTTTATGATGTAATAAACAAAAAACAATTAAAAAAAAACATTTGGGAAAAAAAATAATATGCAGATGTTAATGTTTAACAGAGGGGTTGGACTGAAGAACAAGGCTGTTTGAGGAAATGAAACAATGAATGATCTCATAGGGACATGGGAAAACCAACAAAACATTTGGAATAAAAAAAATACCTAAAAAGCAAAACACAAGGAACGACATGACAAAATCAAATTCACAGAACCAAACACAAAAAACTGGGATAAAGACAACACTGTGTTTTTCCTTATTTGCAGATATGTCATCACCTCTACAACAGGCTGCAGTCACTAAACAGGCAAACTGAACAGAAAAGTGAATTAACAAGTATTTCTGCCTCCGTGTGTATCAGGCAAACAATATGTAATCATTTACAGTATTTACTGATCAGAATGAAATCTAAAAAGAGGACAAGTTCAACTTTAATTTGGTTAAGTCCAAAAGGTAACAAGTTGTAGTTATCACTTTCTGAACGTTTATTAAAATCCATTCAGCGGTTTATTCATTCAACCTTTATTTATACAGGCTAGTCTCACGGAGTCACGAGGACTCATTTACAAGAGAGACTTGTTCATGAGAATTTTTGTTAACACACACACAGAGACAGGTAAACACATTATCGTCCACCCTCACCTTTTGGAGGTGGGTGATAAATATTCTGAACTGCTTCTGTCTCATAGCATCATGTTTCCCAGTAAAAGCTGCCCGGCTGTACCTTCATCTGTCCCATAAAAAACTTTGTCCGCAAATAAATGAGGTACACGCTGTGAATAAATTTCATTCTTTTACTTGGAAAATGACTGTTTTGTCAACACGTCTTTAGTGTTAAAGCAATGTGCAGTGAGTTCCTGTACAGTTGGTTTTCACAGAATGATTACTGTATTCACAACAGAACTGCACCGTATACACTGTCACTGTGAATTTACAGTGCATTCTGGGAAAATATTAGGTTACTGTAAATCAAACGACAGTAATTCTGGCTTGATATAAACCATTTGTAGTAGTTTTATATTACTTTTCATTTAACAATAGCAATATTATTTTAAATTATATTATATATTACATTATTGCAATTAGTTCGAGAGTTAGTTTTAAAGTACTTATGTGCTACTGTAGTTAGTACTACAATAACTTTACTGTGGTATGGAAATGCTGGATACACCCGCTTTGCCTTAGCTACCTCCCTCTTTGTTCTACGTTGCATCTCCTTATAATCCTGTCTCCTCCCTTCAGTCCTCTCACTGTCATATTTCTTCTTGGCTCACCTCTTCCTCGGGGTAATTTCCTGCACTTCACTAATCCTTTCCTCTCTGAACTCCTCACTACATTTTTATTTTTCCTTCCTCATCTTCCATATTTTCCTCTTTTTCACCACAACAGTCATTCTACACACAACCATCCGATGCTGTCTGGCCACTCTCTCCCCTGCCACAACCTTACAGTCTCCAATCTCCCTCAGGTTTCCTCTTCTACACAGAATGTAGTCGACCTGTGTACTTCTCCACTCTTACAGGTCACTCTTTGTTCCTCCCTCTTTTGGAAATAGGTATTGACTATAGCCATTTCCATTCTCTTGGCAAAATCCACCACCAGCTGTTCTTCTTGGTTTCTTTCCTCGACACCAAACCTACCCATCACTTCCTCATCCCCTCTGTTTCCTTCACCAACATGTTCATTCAGGTCTGCTCCGATCACCACTCTCTCCTCCCTGGAAATACTCTCTATCACTTCATCCAGATCCTTCAAAAAATTATATTTCTCCTCCTCATCTCATCCAACCTGAGGAACATAACCCCTGACAACATTTAGCATCAGACCTTCTACTTCTACCTTCAGGCACATCACTCTATCTGACACTCTCTTCACCTCTATCTTTGCCAACTCCTCCTTCAGGACCACCCCTACTCCATTTCTCTTTCTATCCACACCATGGTAAAACAGTTTGAACCCTGCTCCAATACTACGAGCCTTGCTGCCCTTCCACTTGGTCTCTTGAACACAAAACATTTACCTTCCTTCTCTGCATCATGTCAGCCAGCTCTCTACCTGTCATTGTCCTCACATTTAGTTGTCACCCTCAGTCCTACATTTTTGACTTTCTTCTTCTCCCCCTGTCTCCTGACATGTTTCCCTCCTTGTTGTCTTCTTCTAACAGTAGCAGAATCTCTGCTGGCACCATGCTTGTCAATAGCACCAGTGGTGGTTGTTGTTAACCCATGTTCCTGACCGATCCAATATGGTGTCACCTGGATGAACTTGCATGTTTGTTTTGGCAAAAGGGTTTTACACTGATTGTTTGTGGTCTGTTTGTCAGGGAGGGGTTCACATGACACAGCATGAGGAAAAACAGGGAATTGTGAGTCCCCGACCAAAATAAACAAAAACAGGACAAAGTCTTGAACCAGCCAGCCGTCAGATTCAGGCTGCTCCCCTCACCCTATGGTCTAGAAACTAACTCCATAAACCAAGAACCCAGAAACAAGGACTGCTGGTAACTCCTAGACCAAGTACAATATACAAAAGTGACAGTGTGCAAGGCTAGTGTCTGTAAGGGAAGGAGCGGGAGTGAGCATGGAGGTGGAGAGAGGAACCAGTAACCACCAGATATCGCACCAACACCTTCGACCTCCTCTCTGCTCCTTGCTCCTGTAGCAGGTGGAGCTTGTTACTTATAAAGTTTCACCAGCTAACCAAAGCTGAAAAGAGAGGACACATCAGTTAAATAAACGTGACACAGGGTCATGCAATGCTAATATCATAACAAGAAGATACTGAGGGCAGGAAGGAACATGAACAAATTAAGACACTTAAAGCTATTGTAGTAGGAAAACACTAAGCATGTTGGATCGTGACCCAAAATAGGAGGCAGTGGAGACTTTGAAGATGACTGAAATTTCTTCCCTTGTTCTGCTCTGTGTGAATGATGCCAACAAGCCACAGCAAATTACTCACTTTACAACTGTCTCTGCATAAAAATGTCCAGGTCTGAACATTTTCTTTATGTAACTGGAGAGGATATTGGTCCTAATATTTTAACTGCCTGTGTATTTTTGGTGTATTGTTTGCTTATATCTTGTGGGTTCATTGTTTATAATTCTGTACAGCACTTTGAGCTGCTTTTAATATGAAAGGTGCTTTATAAATAAAATTGACTGATTGGTTGATTGATGTGTCGCCCACTGCACTTACTCTCTCTCCTGCTAAAAATGGACTTAAAAGCATTCACAGCTGCTGGTTAGGAGGCTAATACAGTCGAATTATAAATCTGTAGCTCTACCTACACATGCAAGCTAGATTTGAGTGGTCCTTTATTTTTTTAACTGCGGAAAAAACGTATGTCAGACTGCCTTTGGCCATTGTTAAAGCTGTATCATATGAAATAAAGTGGAATGTCTGTTTGAAGATGTTGGATCAGTCTGAACAGAACACCACGGAGACGTGCTTCAACGTGTGTCTACATTTGCATTAATGTAATGTTCATGGAAGTGTTTGTCTATCTATAGATTTTTTTGTACACTTTCAAATGTTCTTCTTTTTAAAATGGATTTTATTCATTTATACGTGTCTCTTCTACTTGTTAGTTCATTTCAATTCAGTTTATTTCTATAGCGCCAAGTCACAACAGAAGTCATCTCAGGGCTCTGAACAGAAACATTCATTCATATATATAAAGTAAGTTAATAACATTATTTATATGAGGAGCAGACTGCTTTGAGTTTAACTTTGTCACAGACTCTCATCCTGAGCAAGCATGAAGGTGACAGTGGAAAGGAAAAACTCCCTCATGAGGAAGAAACCTTTAGCAGAACCAGGTCATCTGCTTCATCCGGCTTGGTTTGGTAGGAACAGATACACAATGGCAGTTTGAGAATCACATGTTAAGATAAAAATTATTTTAAATGAAAACGATTCAATTGTAACAATTCATTTTAAGAAATTAGGTCAATTTGTCCTCTAGTAGTCTAAGTCTATGGCAGCATAACAAGCCAACACTAACTATAGGATTTATCGAAAAGGAAAGTCTTGAGCCCAGTCTTAAAACTGGACAATGTGTCAGCCTCGGTTCCACAAGAGAGGAGCCTGTTAACTGAAAGATCTTCCTCCCATTCTGCTTTTGGAAACCACAAGTAAGCCTGCAGTCTGACAGTGAAGTGCTCTGTTAGGAAAATATGGGACAATAAGATCTCAAATATAAGATGGAGCTAGGTTGTTGAGGGCTTTGTAGGTTAGAAGGAAAAGTAGTTAGGAGTAGGCGGGGGATGTTTGTCTGTTTGTTGCTGGTAGTTGCTTAATATTATTATGAAAATTATTATGATTGAAATAATTGTTTGAAAAAAGGGGCAGATATAATGAGATTTTTTCTTCTTTCTGCTGCCTTTCATTTTAAATCTTTTGTATCTTTTTTTTATATTGTTATGGAATTGTTTTGTACTTTTTAAAAAATGAATAAACTTTATACCATACCATACCCTATGTTGAGGAAAAAAACAATCAGTGTGCTGAAAAATTAGAACTTTTTATTTCATAAGCTCGTGTTTACCAGCAATTATGAAATCTCATAACTCTTATTTTTGAGCTTATAGAACACATATTTGAGGGGATTTTTTAATTTTTTTTATCAGATTGACAAACATGATGTATTTTTTTAAAATAATTTACAATACTGATTACACATCCTGTAAATAATTTTTTTTTTACGTTTACCTAAATAAAACATTTAGGCTCCTCACTCTGCATCTTATTTCTTTTAACACATTGATTTGTGTCCACCTCAGAGGAGGTCAGGTCTTCGTGGTGAGGTTCGGTGGAGCGTGTGGGACCTTCTGGGTCACGTGTGTGACTGTCCCGGCAGGAGTGGGAGTCCCCGCAGGCCCGCAGCTCCACGGGGCGGACGCTTCCTCTCCAAACCACCGCCTCTATCCCTCCAACTGCAGCGGGACAGATTTATGCCGCGGCTCCCTGCGTGCGCGAGCGCCAGTCCAGCCTTCGGGACGGTGAGACCGAGTCAGAAAAAAGAAGAAGTGCGAAGACGGGACGGGAAGCCCCGTGTGTGGGAGATGAGCGATGGTTCGGTGAAAATAGTCCGGTTGTCGTGTCGCCAGCGAGGGAAACTCAAAGCGAGTGTTGTTTTCGGAGCCGCTCCTCCACTCTCCCCGTAGGATCTGATTCAAAGGCGAAAACCAAGATGGCCGCCGACTCCGTGCAGGTAGGAAAAGTTGACAACTGTTGCGAAAAGTGCGCAAACTTCCCTCAGGGGTTCGTTAACAAGTTAGTAAGCGGTGGTGTTTAATTAAAGTGGGGTCTCTGCGTGTCAGTGACGTTGTTTGAAGGTACAAAAAGCGCTGATAAGTTTCCACAGGAGGCTCAGAGCTTTTCCATGGATCGAGGCCTGGGAAACAATATCCAAACTAACTTATCCTGAAGTATCCCAAGTTTTAAATGGTTGCTTTATTTTTAGAAGCTGCTGAATTAACGAACGTATTTTATATTTTCATCAAGTAATTTAAGACTCGTTTGGATTTAGTTAGTTAAACAATGGCAGAAAGTATGACCTCATAGCACGTTAACATACGACGGCTCATTTAGTTCTTAATAAAAATGAACTTTCCTGTTGAAAAAGTTCTCAAAGATATTTCAGATCGACAAAACCTTGCGATTCGCAATATAAATCCGCTACAGTCAGTAAATTACTGCTCTAAAACAAAGGGAAATTGTAGGTTTTATGTTGTGTAGTATTAATAGGACCGATTAATGTGGTTTCACTCAAGTTTCGTGAGGCCTAGCAGACATCTTCAGCTCAAACTAAATATTTGAACCCCTCAAAAGTTCACGTCAAACTTAAAAGTTGTCTGGTATTCATGCAGGTTCATAACAGGGAGGGAAGTTTGCCGTAGATACCAGAGATAATGCACCAGTGAGAAGTATTAAAAGTTTCTTTTCCATGTGCTTCTCACAGCTGATGCAGACTGAAATCTTTTACTGTCAGGTACAAAATCTATCGTCAGTTATGTGGAATAACTAGAACGGTGACATGAAATTGCTTTTTTGTGCCCAATCCCATTGTTAAGTCAATTCATAGTTATGTTGAATGAAAAATGTTTCATCTATGTTCTCTATGGATGTTGACCCCATCAGAGGAGCATTTCCTAGTGTGGGGTCACTGCATCTCCTACTGCTCATCTATGGACAGGTCATGGAGACAGTAGGTCTAGGAGGAAACCTCCAGACATCCATCACTCTCTCCAGCGACACTATCCAGCTTCTTCTGGGGGATGGATTACAAGGAGTTCCCAGGCCAGAGAGAATACGTGCACTGTAGTTCTTCCAGCAAGTTCTGGGTCTCTCCTCAGTGGAACATGCTTGGAAAACCTCCAAAGGCGGCGTCCTAATCAGAAGCCTGAACCACCTCAGCTCACTCCTTTCAATGCAGAGGAGCAGTGGCTCTTCTTGCTCTCCCTGGATAGCAGAAGTCCTCACACTATCATTAGCTATGTTTACATGCGCAGAATTCTTTGACCGGATTGAAATGTGTTCTGTTTGAATAATTCAAATGTGTTGTTTACATGGGCACAATCTGTTCATGATGAGTGTTTACATGCAGCGGGCTTTGTTCTGAACAGCAGTACTGACATGCGCAGAGTGGTAAACTCTCCTTAAAAAAAAACACCGAAGAAGAAGTTCTACTTCCGGGTGAACGTAAACAAACCTGAACACCCAAAATGGACCCGCGACAGGTTTTAATGATGGTGGAGACGTTATTGCACTCCCTGACTGAGCTACAGGTAATAGAAATCATTCTGAGCTCTTTAAAAGCTTCTAGTAGAAATGTTGTGTCGCTCACCGACCAGTTTTGCTTCCCTGACATGCTAATATTATTAGTGTTAGCCAGGCGGAAATGGCAAAGTCGCACATGCGCAGTCAGGTCAGTTTTTCACGATCAGATAAAAACGAACAGATCAAGTGTTTACATGCGCACCGGTCGGGTTACGGAAAACAGTAAACCACTCGTTTCGTTCTGATCACAAATTATATCGGATCGCGCCGAATACACAAAAAATAACCCGAACGGAGTGTTTACATGACACACTTTTATTCCGACCGGCCATTTGAACATGTAAACATTATGTCCATGTAAACATACCCATTGAGGCTGAGCCCAGCCATCCTATAAGGGAAGCTCATGGAAAGGGGGAGGAGTTGAAAAGTTTGATAGCAACAGGGAGGAAGGACTTCCTGTGGCGTTCTGTGGAGCACCTCGGTGGTCTCAGTCTACGACTGATTGTGCTGCGGTAAGAGTCCAGTGTGGCATACATGGGGTGTGACGTGTTGTTCAGGATCTGGAGCAGTTTCCTCAGCATCCTCTGCTCGGACACCTCTGTCAGAGACTGCAGGTCCACTCCCAGAACTGGGCCAGCTCTCTTGATGAGTTTATTGAGTTTGTTGGCATCAGCTTACCTCACCCTGCTGCTACAGCACACCACAGCGTAGAAGATGATGCTGGAGGCCATCGAGTGGTAAAACATCTGCAGCATGGTCCTGCAGATGTTAAAGGACCCGAGTCTCCTCAGAAGAAAAAGGCATCTTTACCCTTTCTTGTAGAGGGCGTTGGTGTTAGCTGCCCAGTCCAGTTTATTGTCTAGGTCAAGGGCTGTCAAACCCACTTATAAAAGGGGGCCATAATTAAAACCCTTTTCAAACTAAGGGCCAATTTCAAAAACGACATTAACTCAAATCAGATACCCAACATCTTTTCTTGGTCACAGGCTCCTCGACAAGAGTTTGATTGGTCTCATTTGATGTTCTCTGTTGTGCTTTCGACATCATAATCACAGATTACTGAAAAAATTCTAAAGATAGAAGTATTTTATGTTTCATATATCATCTTGAGGGCCAGATAAGATGTCATCAAGGGCCACATTTGGCCCCCAGGCCTTGAGTTTGACACATATGGTCTAGGTGTACCCCCAAGTAGGGGTGCACCAATTTCAGTTTTTTGGCCGATCATTGATTTCTAAAAAATCTGACCTGCCGATTCCAATTTTGGCCGATACCGATTTTGTTTTATAAGCGACACTGTCAGGTGTTTTAAAGTCTCAATGCACCTTCAATTTTCCAATATTATTTTATTGAAAAACATACCCTTGAACAATATCCTAGAAACCATACAAACTTGTTTTAACTGGCCATGAGGTAGTGCTCTGAAATATAAATGAAGTTCAGACAGTTGTTGTTGTTAAAACTAAAAAAAATCTGTAAAATTGGTTTCTCATGCAAGTTTCAGCCGATTTCCCAAAATTAAGTAAATTGGGACCGATAAATTGGCCGGCCAATAAATCGGTGCACCCCTAGTCCACAGTGTCCATCTTAGTACCCTTGATGTTGATAGGGTTTGGAAGGGGGCTGATCTGATTGTAACCAATTATTTCAAAGAAAATATCCTATTAAGATTATAATCATAGTATAGATAATTAAGATAATAAAAAAATTATAATAAAAATTGCTATTCTGTTGTATCGTTCAGTACAGTCCTTCTGCAGTATAGTTTCTGAAGTTCCATTTAAGTGTTTCACATTATAGATAAATTGCTGAGAAACAGACTGACAGACTTAACACAAAACAAAGTGTAGTACACTCCATCAAGATGGTACAGTAGGTCATCTATCACCTCTCAGCAAGGTTTGTTAGATCGATTCCCGCCTGGGAATCGTTCTGCGTGGAGTATGCTTGTTCTCTCCGTGCATGTGTGGCATGTGTGGGTTTTTTCCGGGCACTCCGGTTTTCTCCCACAGACCAAAAGCATGCATATTAGGCTAATTGGTAACTCTTAAATATTCCTTAGGTGAGTGTGAATGTTTTTGTCTATGTGGCCCTGTGATGGACCTGCGACCCGTTTCAAGGTTCTTTGTCATTCGCATCACATATGGTACATGAGGTGGGACGAAATTGTGTACCCAAGGTCCCAGTTACACCCAAAAATAGCAAAAATATAAAGTATAAAAAGAAACGGTATACAAGGATCTAAGATATACGCTAAACACTAATGATGTAAAAATAATACTGTTTATTAAACAACAACCTAAACATGAGTCTGTAGTAGAAGATGGGTGAGAAATCAGCAGCATGGATAAGTCTCATATCACCAACTAAAGTGGCATTAAAGTGATTTTTTTTTAACCTCCAAAAGGTGCATATGTAGATACACATCCAATAATTTTTTGAGTTTTACTAAAATCCTTCCCGTGGATCATGGGATATTTTCTAACGGACAGAGTTGATGCTGAAGAGTTAATGACAGTTTTAAACAGAGCTTGCATGATCAGTTAGCGGTTGGAGTTTGTGCCATGGGTCAGACTTAGCTATAACCACACCCCATTTGAGTTCAGTATCTGTACAATAGGACTGGACTATATGGCCAAAACTTTTATCACAATATATTTCTTAATTTCCGTCTAACGATATAATTCGATATCAGTATAAAAATATAAAAGCCTCAGAAAAACTGTACAATTAAATTAATTTTCACCTTTTATTTGTATTTAACCTTCAAAAAAAATTGAAATCACCGTCAAATAAACATAAAACTCTCAACTTTGTCAATATTAATAGGTTTAACTTTAAACACACACAGACTGATATATTTCAAATGCTTATTTCTTTTAATGTTGATGATTATTACCGACTACTAATGAAAACTCCAAATTCAGTACATCAGAAAATTGGTATATTGTGAAACGTTCAATATTGAAGACACCTGGTGCCACGCTCTAATCAGCTAACTGATTAATCAGCTAACTTTAACTCAAAACACTTGCAAAGGCCTTTAAATGGTCTCTCAGTCTAGTTATGTAGACTACACAATCATGGGGAAGACTGCTGACTTGACAGTTGTCCAAAAGACGACCATTGACAACTTGCACAAGGAGGGCAAGACACAAAAGGTCATTGCTAAAGAGGCTGGCTGTTCACAGAGTTCTGTGTCCAAGCACATTAAAAGAGAGGTGATGGGAAGGAAACTGCCGCTAGCTGTTTAGGATTTTGAAACAAAACCCATTACAAAATGTGGGGGAGATTCACAAAGAAGAGTGGACTGCAGCTGGAGTCAGTGATACAAGAACCACCACGCACAGACATGTGCAGGACAAAGGACTCAGCTGTCTCATTTTTTGTGTCAAGCCACTCTTGAACAAGAGACAGCGTCAGAAACGT